TCAGGTTATCAGGCTTGCATAGAGAGACTAACGTGCAATGTTCCAAACAGCTTTAGAGTTTTTTACGGGCAATCAGAGAGGACGGCATGACAGTGTTGCAATCTTTGGCAAGCAAAGCGCTGTAGTCTAGCTTTCGGGCGCGCTGCTCTCAAGTAACATCGTCTTGCTTGGTTCTTTCATGCAGCTTCCTATTGCTGCATGCTCCCCGGAAGGGATTCTGTTTTCAGTGTTGTGATCTGGGATTCCATGGCCGACGAAACTTATTGCGCACGTGTCCGCAAAGCGTCCACAAGTGTTCGAAAGCATTTCCAAGCGTTCGCTCGGGCACCATTTTCGTATAAGTGTTGTCGCTTGTGGACCGTCGTAGCTGCGTCGCGTGTCAAAGGTGCAAACCGTCAAGGGGCATGGGGCCGTGCGGGACGGGGCGGGGAAGCATTGCTTCTGCCTGGCATGTGACAATTTCATGAGTGCCAACGAGTCACATCTTTGTTGCGTATGAAAAGTGATAGGGATGAGACCCCTTGGGGCGTATTTGTCGCCACTTTTGGAGCCTCGTGTCTGCACCACGTGTAAGACATGCCCACTGTTGCAGGCATGGGCCCTCGGTTCGCCATGCTCGTACCTGGTCGTATCTTCATCGCGCACGACCGTGTGGTTGGAATGGGACAATGAGACTCGCCATCCTCGTGCCTGTCCTGGCTCTTGGACGTTGGTAGAAAATGCAGGGACTACGTTAGTTGCGCCATTGCAGAATGGAATGGGGTGGAAAGGAAAGGTGTGAGGGGAAAGTGCGGTGGAAAGAGGTGGACAGTGAGATGGAGAGTGAGGTGGAAATGGAGTGGGGGGTGGAGTGTAGACTGGAGGATGGAGTGGAGAGTGCAGTGCACGCAGAAGGTAAATAGTATCGGAGTGGAAACTGGAGTGGTCTCTCCAGTGAGGGTGGAGTCCAGAGTAAAGTGGAGAGTTGACTGGACAGTGGAGTGAAAAGTGGATTAAGAATGTGGAAAGTGGGGAGGAGAAGGGCATGGAAACTAATTGGAAAGGAAAGTGGAGTGCAAAGTGGTGCGGTTCTGGGAAGGATTTTCCAAGCCCCTTAACGAGATGCATGTTTTTTGCTGCATGTACCTTCCCTCCTTTCCTTCTACCCTAGTCCAGTGCTAGATAGAGCCTGGCTAGCTTTCGTTGGCCTCGGCTCGCCCCTCAAGTGCTGCTGCTGCTGCTGCTGCTGCTGCTGCTGCTGCGCTGCTGGTGGTGGTGGTGGTGGTGGTGGTGGTGGTGGTGAAAAAATCTCACGAAGCCTACACCACCTTGAGAGAACCTTGAAGGAAACCTTGTATCAGCCTCGACTGAACTAATGCTAGCAGACAGTTTACACCTCATGCTGCCTTGCGAAACAGTTTTATCTCTACCGTTCGACAACACTTCATCAAGTCACTTGTTGGGTTGCGAAGCTTGGGCCTGAGGCAACTCAATGCTGGCAGTCCGCAGCATTCATCATTGGGTCTCCTTTTCTCGAATTGCAGACTAGTATGGAAGCCTCAAAAAGGCCCTAACAAAGCTACGGTCTTTCAGAAAAGGTGTTACCCGGGGTCACATTTACTTTATGCCTGGAACCCAAAACACCTAGAACAGAACACAGAAATCTGCATCTTCACTCTCCCCCTTAGCCCCCTCCCCCTCCTTTGGAAAATTGCTTCTCATCTTGCTTTTACTTGCTTCTCCCCTCCCCCTTGGAGGTGCAAATGAATGCTGCCCATTCTAGGTTAGGGTAGATGCAGCAGTATGGTGTGGAAGAGCTGGTGGCATGTGCTCACGCATGAGCAGCTGTTGTGATCGTTTGTTGGCACGCCGGCCCAGTCTGCAGCCAATTTCAGTCCTCTGTCCATGGTCTCTTAAAACTTCGACAGTGGGAAAACAGGGATGTTGCGGCGAAATGCCAAACGAACAAGATGCGGTTTAGTTTGGAACATTATCTCAGAGACTGCTCGTGAGCTATCTTGCAGGCTTTCCTCGAGGTGCAGAAGGAGGCGATTGTCAATTTTTGCTCCGCTGCCGTTCCTGTCATCACTGTTGGATGTGCGTGCACGATGGATCATCACAGGTGCATACCTTTGTCCAGACCCAACTCTTCATAGAAGTGCTTCTTGGTCTGCCGGGATCTTAGGGAAAAGATAAGGAGGAGAACAGTGCGCGGGACGGCAACCAGTGCAGCAATTCAGGCCGCTTCTGACATGGCTTTCTGCAGATGGCGCCCCTCACCCTCATGGCATTCATTCATGACTCCAAGTTGGGGCCTGGCGCCGCGAGAACGCACGATCTGCCTCAATGGATCGTGAAAAAGAGAATGAGGTGCATTTCAAGGCTGTTAGGCAGGTCGGTTGGAGGCGTGGGCTTCGTAACCAAGTAAGCTCGGTGCATGGCCCCATCAACCATCAGCACCCCGCGGCCGTGAAGCTGGCTCTGTGGTCCGAAAAAAGGCCCCCCTTGGCCCGCTGCCGAAGGCACCAAGGCAAGCAGCGAGGCTGGTAAAATGCTTCCGAGAGAATCCTTCTATATCTGTATCCGCTTCTTACTTCAGGGCGCTCGTAGTCGTAGCGTGATGCTTGGCAACGCTTGATGCATCAAGTACAAATGCTGCCTTGGAACTTGCCTCAGGTCTAGAAATGCCGAAGAAGTCCAAAGCGAGCAAGAATGCGACAGGAGCCAGATAAGACCAGTCCGCATCCATAAGAGGCAACACATCCCGAGGCATGTTTTCTTTGCTTTATTTGGTGAGGAGGCTTGAAGAAGGCATCGCCAAGCGTTTTGTGACCTATGCTGTGGCCGTGATTGCATGTGAGCTGTGGTGATGCCAGGGTCCAATCATGGACGGCTTCAGGCTGCCTTGAGCTTCAATCGCACTTGCATGTACGCGCGCCACTTTTGTGCTACGGTGCACATGAAGGACCGTGGAAGAGCCTCTGTATCTCTCCGTCAAGGTCGGCTTGCCTCATCATTCAGAGGGTTTATGCAGCAAGCAGCACATGACCAGGAGGAAAATATTGCACCGTTCACCCTTCCAGTGGAGGTCTGGCATTGTCTCAAAAGTTCAGGGTTCCTGCTCGAGTCAGCAAGGCCTTCACTTTTGAGCCCGAGCCAGACATGGTTGTAAGCCTCAGCCTTGGAAAGTCTACAAGCTACAGGCTTTCAGCTTGCATCAGGCATCTAATCTGTGCTGTCTGGGAGGTCATTTTAAAAACGGCGACAGGGAGCGCAAGATCTATTGCAACATAGAGCTCTCCGAAGAGGACGCGGTCTGGTCGGTTTCAGGGTGTTTGATCACGCCAGGTAGTGTTTGCGGCCGAACGAAAAGTATTGAGCCCTAGACGCGAGTTGCTGACCACCAGCAGTCTGCAATGTGTCCCGCCACCTCCACCTCCAGACCCAGCACTGGCTCAGGAGGTCTAAGGAGCCGTACTCCTGGGCTCCTCACCTCCAGATCCCAACTGCTTGGGAGTACTCCTTTCGAAAAACTTAAGACGTGCATATGGCATAAAGGATGAGTTGGCTACAGGTGCGGGTACGTGATGGGTCTTCCGGGTAAGCAGTCTGCGTCAACATGACATGTTCCTGGCTGTTGCTGTTTTTTGTTGACACGATGCACTGGATCAGCTCACAGTATTATGATAGCTGAGACACGTAGACGTAGCCCGCTGCTTCCAGGAGCAGAAAAGCGTCAAAGATCTGCAGGACACCCCTTTTAATACTCGCATTGCCTACTCTTGTGCCATGAGAGCTATCCGCAGCTATCTTACTTTGGATGGAGTGCCTCGGCAAAGGAAGCAGCAAAGGCCCAGGGCCTTGAGTTTTTCCCTTCCATTGCGCGGCTGGCAAGTGGACGAGTGTGCTAGCCAGAAGTGGAGACTGAGTGTTTTGCCAGGCGATTATGGCAGGGCGCTTTTTGAGCAGAGCTCGAGGTGACGCTAACAAGGCCAGAAGGTGCTTGTTTTGCCAAATGGATTCAAGTAGCATGCTGTTTCAGGCAATCAAGCTCATGTTGGCGACGCAAGAGTGGAAGGCAGAATACTTCAAGGTCTGCGGGTTTACTCGGACTGACAGCTGGAGAAGGTGATCCTGTGCTGTCATCGCTAGGATGGGCCAGTTGCCGATCACCAAGTGATCGAAGACCTCAAGCTCTGTCCTTAGTAGACATTCTACTTGACATCGATCCACTGACAGATCTCTGCATGCAATGCTTCATCTTTCCAGGTATGGCGTGGTATACTTTTGCGGACGGGATTATGGCATGAGGTCTGGAAGCTGCAGCTCTTTTTCTTTTACATCTTGCTCCGTGTTAGGCCCACAATTATTTGCCGAGCAAACCGCATCCCAGATGAGTGGTACAAGGACAGCTTACCCAATATCTCCTCGCACTTTTTTTTTGCATTTTGTTACCATCCGCGGGCAGGACAAGGCAGCTGGAATTGAGCGGCTCATCAAGGTGTTGATCTTCTCCATGGAATACATGGTCAGATATATGGTTGTGCCTGATGCCCAAGTGCATGGCCTTGAGAAGGCTTCAAGATGCGTGCATGTACTGGATGTTTACGGGTACAGGGCCCCTGCAAGACATGCCCTCAAGCAATTTACAGCCGAACCACCTGGAAAGACAAATATGTTTTGCACTCGCATGGCCAAGCTGTCAAACGCCTGCAGCAGAGGCCAAGACCATTTGCGCCTGCCAAGCCAAGCCAAGCCTCCGCCCCCGAAACATAGTGAGGGATGGTATCCATAGCGTATCATTCGTCTACTGCATGTGCATAGTCATCCTTGAGACTTTACAGTACTGAAGGCTCGGTCCTAGAGGCCTTTCGGTGGATCCTTGACCAAAAGCTTCTTTAAAAAGAGCACAGAAATCTTCGAGTCAACTTTTTTGGGGCCTATCTCGGACGAGCTAAGGCCTGGCAAGATCGAGAACAACTGCTTGGTTGTGGATCTCAAGGGCCGAACTCTCAGCATAAGCCAGATTGCATGATCATCATCATGCCAGATGCATGCAAGGTCTGGGAATTTCTGGCGTTCCTATATCCGCCCTGTCCAAGATTTACTCGGTCATGCTGGCTTGAGTTTACGCACATGCAGCAAGGTGTCTGAAAAAGCATTTCTCACCTTGACAGGTCATGAGTCATCACTACATTGGTCGGGTATTCAGGCAGTTTCTGCAGAGCTGAAGCCCTTTGATGCGAAGTTGACACCTTCCATTGGTGGCTCCGTCTTCTGGCAGGTTTTATGTTGTCAACATGTCCAGCGGACTAAGCACCATTGCTGGCTGGGCCACCCTGGCCTTTTTTCATATAGCTCAAGGGTGGTTGCGGCAGAGTGTCTGTGTTGCAGCTTGACGCTTTGGATCAGGTTTGCTAGAGGGGTCAGAATAAGTGTAGCTGCAACCTTCCCTTAATTGGGATACTACCGTCAAAAAAATTTACAACGAACGATAAAAAGCTAGGTCAGGATGTGTACAGTGTACAGGATGACTTATGCAAAAGCCATGGATCAGAAACCCTTTGGATGAGGATCAACAGACAGTTCGCGTAAGAAACAACAGTACAATGAACGTTGTAAAAACTAAAAGCGGGATAGATGAAATCAACGACGGAGATGCACAGATCGACGGAAGGAGAGCATGTAAGGCAGAAAGCAAGAACAGATCCTTGAACCTGACAAGCTTTGAAAAGGAACCACGTGCATTTCCTAGTGCGCCATGGTACTATAGCACGCCATGTAGCAAGATCCTCTCATCTCTCAACAAGTCGCCCTTTGAACGATGTGCGTGTTTTGATTCCGTCCATCCCAGCCAATGATGTTACGAGTTGGGTGTATCCCTCCCAAGCCTAAAACAATTCTTGAAATGGACGCACATCGCATTAGCTCCTGGTGCTCGGATTGGAGCTCCAAAATCTATCACAGTTGTTACGAAATGTTACGCAAGCTTCCTCCCAGCTATGCTGATCTGTGATAAGGGGGTGTGGGGGAGGGGGAACCCCAAAATCATCCAACATGTGGTCAATCTGGCTGCGTTTCCGGGTGATGACCCGAATTTTGGGGATGTCCTGGTGCTCCCTGAAACCAGCCATTCAGGAGGGTCGGTTGGTTCCGCTTCTGCGCCGAGAGACGGACGCCTTCTGATACTGCTGATACCGGGGGTGGCCAGAGGCCGTGTTTCCTGAGCTATGGCGACACCTTTTCACAAATACATGCTGCACGCCTGCCCAGAGCCTGCTCCTGCCTGCCTCGTCGAAGCTTTCGTCCCCCGTCCTGTGGGCGCAAGTTTCACGACCCAGCGCTCAAAGGGTGTGGCTGTTTTTAGTCAATCGGTCAACTCTGGCCTTTGAGTTTGATGTTACCGCAATCTTACACTATATGATATGGGACGGTGTAAGCCGGCTCAAAATGTTGATCTACATGATCCTTGTGCAAGGGTCATGCTGAAGTATGACAAGGGGCATCCGCAAGCTGAGCTAATGCACTTTTCGTTTTTGGGAAGGCAAAGCTCCTTTTACCAATAGTTTGTAGACACTGTTCGCATTTGTTGCATCAAAATCTGCTTTACTTGACTCCACTTGATTCTTTATCCCTCAATCGCGCTGATCCAGCCATTTCAGCAGGTCTTGTGTTTTTCGTATGCCAGGTCAAGGGCCTGCTCACTGATCGGCAGAAGCTGCTGTCTAAGATTCGTGGTCCAGAGTGTGACTGTTTGTCTGGGACCAGACTTTGCATTTCTGGACTGGGTTGCCTGCCCAAGTCAGACTCGGCACGAGAGATTGACCAAATTGACAGCCGAAATTGCTCAACAGGCAGAAGCTGCAGCTGCTAGACAACCTAGATGATTTGAAGAAGGCCTGCGCTGCTGTTATCTTGAACCTACTCAGCTCTGTCGCACAACGTAGGACTTCGCACACCACCAGCTTGAAGAGGATCTTGGTTAATGCCTTACTACAATCGAAGCACCCGTTTCAGACTTAGTGGGGAGCGGCCTATCAGGTGGTTCCAGGCCAATGATCAAGACATTCTTCCCTTTCCCGCTCCAGGCAGACGCGCTACTCTTTGTTGATGTTGGTTTCTTTCTGTGCGAAACCCAAGCTGCAGCCAGCCAGGGTCCGCCCTTCGAGAAGGGCTCAACAGACAGCTGCATGTCTGCAGCCGCGGAACAGACTCCGCGGAGCATGCAGAGCACGCGGAGCACATGTCACCCGAAGAACCGAGCCAAGTAATTTCCGGTTGTGGAGCCAAGGTTGTACAGCAAAGCCGCTTGAGGGGACGCACAAGGCAGAACCTGGAATCTGAGTGGGAGGTTGCTCGGAATTTTCAATCTCCGCTTATGGCAGTTGCTGACGACCATGGGAGCAAGGGGCCGAATATATGACCCATCGAAGACCAAGGAGGCTCTGCGAGACTGTCCGATTTCTGGACTGCCCAAGCTTGTGAGCAGCTTGTGCAGGAGAATGCAGCCTTGGAGTTCACTCCAGAGGTGCGGCACTTGATTTGCTGGTATCCGAGAACAGGACTAGGAACGTTTGGGCACAGTCTCCTGCACTGTGGTCAGACAGTGATTGAAATTGCCAGGCATATGATTTCTTCATCCAGAACAACCTCAGTGTGCCGCCAGACTGTCAGAGACAACATGAGGCAAGTGGCCTCACAGCTTGCTCTGAATCCTTGGAAAGAGTCCCAGCAGGTGTTCATTGTGTCTTGCCTGGTGTCCATGTGATCGGAAGGCAGCTAAAAAAGCTGAAGAGGAAGCAAAGCGCACGAACCTTCTGATATGCTGAAAATTTCTCTCCTGTTGCGCAGTTTCATGGAATTTCCTGAGGTCTAGCAGCCGAAAGTCCGAGTGGAATCACAAACTCAGACACGAAGGTGCTGCCAATTTCTAACATCGTCTGAGCTAATGCAAGTTCGCGCAGGCAAATAACGATGGAAGTTCCCCAGACATGCTTCCTGCTGGTGCGCTGCCGGACGAGGACATCACCCATGCCAGTTGCCTCTCTGCCTAGCAAAGCCTCGCGCTCCCAGGAGGAGGATGATGATGAGGAAGAAGAGGAGGAGGCCAGAAGTGACAGATTCCAAGGGTCCTTTCAGCCTCAGAGTTTTCAGGACATCATCGTCCAAGATCCAGCAGCCATCAAGCCAAGGGGGCTGTTTAGCTGCAGTCCTTGCTGGTGTGGAAATAATTGCCGGCCTCTTACCTGATGAACGTCCCCAATCTCGCTGCGCTCAGCATGACACGTTTCAGCCCAGGACAACCTGCAGGGCTTCGCAGGCGGAGCGGATTTTGTTGACAGGATGTGGCTGTGGGACATTTGGAGCAACGCGCCAAAACCACTGCAAAGCAGTGCAGCCGCTCTACACCCTGGTTCGACACCTTTGCTTGCTTCCCTTGCATCAAAGATGCCACCTGGAGGTACGTGCAAGATGCATTTGTTTCATCGGGACCTTAGAAGTCATCGCAGCATTCCTTTTGCCTTTTGCTTTGCAAAGCATTTTTTAGGAGTGCTGGCAGTGCTTTCCAGTGGAGCTGCTAAGACAGATAGCCGCTGATTTCCGATGCTGCGAAACCGCCGAAACAGGTTGCCCCAGCTTCTTTGGGAGGCCACTTCACTCAGATCAAAATCTGGCTGTCTACAGCTGACTCTTTGCTTGCAGCTCTCCCGCACAAGCGGCAAGGAAGACCGGTGTAGTTTCATGGCCTCCTATCCAAGTAAACAGGGCAATGGCACGCAATGCCTATGCTGCACCACAAGGCCAGAGATTTGGGGACCACCTTTTTTGCAGCCTGTTAATGTTTGGCAAGGTGCTGGAGTTGCGAGAGGCCACGAAAGAGGCCAGTTGTTTTGCCGAGCCCCAAAGTGACGTTGAGTCTTCCATTGGCGGGAACGCGTTGTTTTCTGAAAGGCAGTGGCCGAGTGTGCGAAGCTCCTGGAAGGCCTTCCTGTGGAGCGCCAGCAAACTTCCCTTGCACGTGAGCACTCGCTCCTAACCTGTGTGCAGATTCAGATGATGCATGGGTCATTGTTCCGATCTTGGGAGCTTCACTTGCGCACAATGCAGATGTTGCTATGAAGTGGCAAAGATCAGGGCAGTCGCATGTCATTGTTATAGATTGCCTCGCTGACGTGTTGAGCTTTGGCTGAGGTAGACATTTTTGACAAGCTTCGCGAGTGGCTTCGTGGCCACCCCACCACGGTGTGTTTTTTTGCCTTGAGCTGGTTGGGCTGGAACTTACAAGGTCGGGATTTCTCCCATGCGCAGCAGCTGATTGATCCCACCTTGGAGGCCTTAAGTTACGCTTGTCACTCACCTGTTCCACTATGCTCTCCTCGTGCTGGTCCTCCTCCCCCTCCTCCTCCTCCTTCATACCTCATCGGCCATGCCATTTTTCTCATCGAGCGGCAGTCGCCTTCTGTTTCTGTTTTGGTTTGTTTCTTGCTCTGTCGTTTTCGCTTAAAATGCTTCAACATTTGCCTGTCGTCCGTGTCTACCTTGTGGCACCTGGCAGCTCAGTCTGAACAGCCTCTGCAAGAGTGCGATAGCCGCAGTGTAGATGCGCTGTCAAAGCATGACTGCCTTGTGCTGGCTCCGCGGCTCAGGGCTTGCACCGTAAGCCGCTTAGCGTTTCGGGTTTAGCTTGAATCCAGGCCCAGACAAAAGCCAAAGAACGCTTCGTTTGCCAGCCAAAATGGCAGGTGGGTCCTGCCAAGCGTTGGCGACCGTTCGTGCTGCCATTTTGGGTGTCTCCCCCGGGGGCTGTCTCCTTCCAGAGCATGGCTAGCAACGCTGGTGCAACAGTCTTAGGCCTAATGGTCGGAGGAGTCTTATACATTTTGCCCAAAGTCGACCGTATCTTTGGAAGGGTCAAACAAACAGAGACCTTTTGATGGTCTCAACTGCGTGGCTGTCTGCTGTGCTGTGTTTTGTCGGCAATTGGGAGCCAGGAAGTTGTTGTCATCAGTCTCTTCCCACCTCCTTTCGTTCACCTTCAGCGGGTCATTTCCTGTGCACATCAAAAAGGTGGCAGTTTGACTATCTCCAGATGGCCTTCCTCCGCAATACAAGTTCTCCAGCACTTGAATTGTGAAAGCGCGTTGTCACAAAGCCATGCGACTGCTGACTTGAGCTCGTCAGTGCTTTTCAGAGCTTCAACAGATGGACAAAGCTGGGGTGTCTGTCTGCTTGCCTGTCACCTGTTTATCTGCGTGCCACTGTCACTAGCTTCTGTTCTCTGAGCCTCTTTTCTTAATTTTTTCGTGATCTAGATTTTTTGCACCCTGCTGGTTTCTCATTCTGTCTTTTTGTGTCTACATCCTTTTCCGCTTGTCTGTTTGCTGCATCTCCATTGCCTTCAGAGGTGGAAATTGTGCAAGCGCTTCGACGCTTTGGGACGTGCAATCTGGAGGTGGCCAGCGGCTGCCTCACTTAAGTTGCCGTTTTGTCTTGCGGATCTTGCTGTGCAGAAGACAAGGATGCATTCATCCTTCATTTCAGTCGTAGAGCTTTTGTTCAACATGGAGGATTGGGCCTCGGCGTGATTGCAGGCTGCTGCCAGAACCTTGCAAGAAAATGCTGCTAAGCCATTTTGCATGATCTCTGGAAGAGACTGCAGCGAACTGACAGCAAGCTACCAAGGAAGAACGACAACAACAGCGAGCTGATTGTGGCACTTGGCTTTGTCAAGGTACCTGCCCCTTCCCTACTACCAGCACAGCAGTTGGTTCTTTTACGCCGGAGGGATGGTTCGGGTGTGTCAGCACAAAACTACAAGGGGAGCAAACTACAAGGGAAGAATTGTTGCGCGAAGGACTTGGTCAAGCTGATGGACATACACAGTTGCCACCTCAGGGTTTCCCAGTCATCCCCGGTCATTGAATGACAGTCGCATTTGCAAAGCGAGGAGCGGACAGCACGGTGCAGGATAATGCCTGTGTGGCAATTTGGAGGCAGAGCTGTCATCTTTGCCATTTCAGCCTGGAATCGCTGGAGTCAGGTTGGCGGAGCGGCAGTCATTCGCTGCAGAGAGAATTGCACAGGCAAAGCGTTGTAGATGCGTTTTTGCCAGTTGTGGGGCCGGTGAGGCTTCTGCAGTCAAGTGTGTCAACCTGCCTTGCAAGCACTGCAGGTGGATGGGCAGCAGAGAGTGCTTGCTGCCATGAAGGCGCAGATGCTGAATTTCTGCTTAGAACTTAGCATCACGCAATCTTTTTTTCTGCCTGGAAGGAGCACCGACGAAACTCGTTCGTGCAGGTCAACGCCCTCCTGGCCTTGGAGAAGCCGCTTCCTTGTTTGAGCTTTCTGCCTGATATGGTGTTTTTGTTTTGAGTATATTGTCCTGGTGTAAGGCATTCTTCGTCTAGGCCGTTATTCTCAAACACTCAGTCTTGTAAACCGAACAGCCCAATTTTGTTCTTGCGGATAATCGCATCCAGGTGAACGCTTTTCTGAGAGTTTCCAACTTCGTACAACATGTACTGGTACAAAATCTTCGATCCGGATTTCAACGCGGTCGGTTTTGGACGTCGATTCTTTTGCCTGTGCGCTTCATTACCGTTTCATTACCCATTTCACATTCCTTCGCAACCCTTTACGTCAAGTGCCGGCAGTGCAGATAGCTTAAATCCAGGACCAGAAGCATTCAACCACTGTCCACCCCAATGAAGGACCCAAAACCACCCTCGGATTGTACTGACACAAAGTCCGCATGAACGAACCTCCAACTAAGAAAACATCCTTGAAGCATCAAACGCTATCAAAGAGCTTCATCGAAACTCCAAAGAACGTGCGTCAAACACTCACCAAAGAATCATTAGCCTGCAACTAACGTGTAAGATCAGAAAACATCTAAACTCATTGGAAGACACATTGTGACATATTTGTGTGTTGAGTTTGGCAGGCTGGGGTGCACATGTTTCATTGAGCCCTGGCTGGCTGCTGTTTGGTGGGCAGTTGAGCAAAAAGGGGATTGCCTTTTGTGATTCTTGAGGTGTGACCTCTGCGTGTATAGCATGAATGCAGAGGCTATCATAGTGGTGTATGCAACACGGGCCTTGGAGCATGACTGGAGCTCGCCAAATCCAAGCCTTGTCGGATTCGTGGTATACCGATGCTGCAGTCATGCTGTGGGCCAGCACAGTGAAGACCCTGCACTATCCCCGAGTATTATCGGGTCAGGCAGAGGAGAAACATTTGCTGCCAGTCTGACTTTCGCCATGTGTCCAGGAGTCCAGATTAATTGCGCCAGGTGAGGGGAGGATTCCAGTTCCCATGGACTGGCACTTGGTGCATGCAAGGAGTTGTGCTTCGTGCCGGCGCCAGCTCGGCTAAAGCGTGGAGATGCGTGGAGTGAGCTTGAGCGGAGCCGTGAGACCGTTGACAAAGTGGGGGCGCAGCGGCTTGCATCCATATCTTGCTGGGGCACCTCCACCGGCTGATGTTTTTGCTTGTGAAGCTGTACTGGTTGGAAAGCGGCTTTGACAAATTTTTTCAGCGTGTGTCTGCTGTGGGCTTGGTAGTGGATTTAGGGGTCCCTTTTGTAGCTGAGTATAGTGCGTAACATCGTTCCGGAGAAGGAATTCATGTTTACTAAATTGCGTAGGAAATGTTGACGGCAGCTCATGTGTCTTTGCATGTCGGAGCAGCAAAGTTTGTTGCCGTCCAGTGGAAATTTTTCGCTATTCAACATTATTCAACTATGCGACAGCCGTTTGAGTGCAGGCTACTTTTTTGTTCACTAAGTGCGTGTGCGATGCTGCCAGTCGCTTCGTCGTCTTGTTTTGTTGACTAAGGGCGTGCGCAAACGAATTTAAAGGTTGCACGTTGAAGTGTGTGTGCAAGCAAGCGCTGAAAGCTGTCAGTGGATGAGTCGCGGGAGTGCCATGAGTCTTTTCTCACTTCCACAGCAGCCGGCGATGGCTTTAGAAATCCAAAATTTGTCCGTGAAATCAGCATCCTCCAAAGTTCGAGTTGTTGATCTTCTGGTCTCACGTATCAGTACGAGCAACAAAGCATCATGAAAACTTGTGAGCGGCGGGAGGCTCGTGGCTTGCTCATGCACAAGTGACTGCGTCAGGAAAGTGCAGCAGCAGTTCAAAGCTAAGTTCAGTGATCAAAGTACATGATTTCTGTCGACAATTCAGCTGGGCACAAAAGCCAACTTGGTTTACAATTCGTGCCCGAACAAGGTCACTGTGCTGCTTGCCGGCAGCACGCAGGCATCGATGAACAAAGTGGAGACAGAAGTGGTTCCCTGTCATTGACTGGTGTTGTACGGATTTTTTGGCCCTGGTGGAAGACGTCGAAGTCCATGGTATCCAGAACACATCCGGAGGACGCCGGCGCAAGTTCAGCTTGTATCTCGAAAACAAAATTCGCAACGAATTTCAGGCTTGCTGAGAAAGGTTTACGAAACCACTTCCGGCGGGGTGTTCCAAGGATTTCTAAGGGCTTGGCCTTGGCTCGGATATTAGTCAGTTTGAACTTGGTACTGTTCAGGGAGTGCCTCAAAGATTCATGGCCACTTGGGGCCTGTTCTGTTTGTCCGGATACCAGCAGAAGGATGGCCTGTTATTTGCTTGATGGGATGACGTGAGTGACTTGATGTGCTGAGGTGTTGTGCTGTCGTCATCAGGTATTTAACAGGGTGTGAGGCGCATGGCATAAAGTGAAGTTCTCGTACAGCTTTTGTGAAGTTAGCTCTTAGGAGCTCACATGTTCCAAAGCACGGGGTGCGGCTGGTGGCAGCCGCCTCTTTCCAAAATTGCGATCCTGCAGTGCGTCTTGAGAATTTTGCTTTGCATCGATAACCTTCTCAGCCTTCCGGCGTCGTCTGACACTCCTGCGTGGAGGGTTCTCAGAATTTGCTCACGGATCGTACGCTGCCGTATAATCCCGAAAACGCGGTTTACATGGAACTGGGGTTTCTCATTTAACAGTTTTTCGTGTTCTCTAATATTTGGTCGTGTAGGTAAAGGCTTCGGGCCATTTAGTTTTAAATCAATGGTATTGAGCATTTGGGCGGCTGGAAACTTGTGTTATTGTTCCGGACCCTTAAAACACATGCTTAAAGTGGATCCAAACCTTTGCTGGACTCCCCCCACAAAAATTGACGTATCGTATGTTTTCGTATAATCCCGAGTAAGGGGCTTGTATGGAGCTGGGTCTATGAATTATTAGTTTCTCCTATTTCTTAATATCCGGCTTCATAGGTAAAACTCAGGCCCTTTTGGTTTTTAACCAATACTACTGAAAATTTGGGCGGCCGGAAAATGTGTTGTTATTCCGGACCCCGAGAGCTAATGCTTAAAGCAGATCCAGGCTTTTGCTGGACTACCCCGCGCAAAAATTGACGGCTCGTACGTTTTCGTATACTCCCGAGTAGGCGGTTTGTATGGAGTTGGCGTCTGGACTTCGGCATCTCTGATATCTGACCTATTCTGGGCTTACAGATAAAGCTGTGGTGCTAAAGTTCTGCACTTCAAAGCCCTTGCGGCCTGAGGCTCGCAGCCTTCTAGTTGATCCTGGTCTAGGAGAAGATGTAGTCTCAATCCATCTTGATGTTGAAAGATTCAAAGTATGGGCCCCTAGCATAGGTTCAGGGCACAGTATAGCGGTTTGATGTACTTCATACACATCCTACACCGTTGTGGATACCTGAACCCCAAACACTTTTTCCCTATACCCGAACTCCCAAATTCTGCAAACCCTGAGCCCCAAACAGCTAAACCTTGAGCTGTCAATCCCCAACCTTAAGCCCTAAATCATTTGACCCAGACTCATTTAGTGAGACTCAGTTTTTGGCTTGCCGAAAACAGACGAAACCCAAAACCCCAGATCCTAAAACCTAAGCCCAAAACGCCAACCCCTAAACCCGAAGCCAGTCAGTCTTGGACAAACCTGAGATTCCTGAAGAAGTCATGATGCACGAGCCCCTGGGGTTCGGGGTTCCATACTTTCAGTGAGGACTCATTTATTTAAGGAGCTTTGAGGGTGCCATGAAAGTTTTTTTTCTTCGAAATTTGAGGGAAGATTACGAGAACATGCTGCCGCAACTGCCGTTTTGCGCATACACACGTGAACAAATCCGTAACTAATACTCGTTGCGGTTTGAAAAACAATTTTTGAACCCCCTAGGCCAGTACACGTCTTTGCTATAAAGCTCCAGGTTTTCACCGCAAAGACATTAATGTGAGGTTTGTACCACGGCCGGAAGGGGACCATTTTCCTCCTACTGCTGCTACACGCTACTACACGCTACTACACGCTACTACACGCTACTACATGCTACTATACACGCTACTACGCTGCCACACGCTGCTACACACTGCTACTTCTGCCGCTACTGCTACTGCTGCTGCTACTGCTGCTGCGACTGCTGCTGCTGCTACTGCTGCTGCTACTGCTACTGCTGTTACTACTACTAC